TGCCCGTAATTCTTTTCGGCTGGCGACAGTGATCGAGCTGCGTGTGCGATCGCTTTTTCCGATCCGTCAGCAAACTTATGAGAAGTAACTGCACCCACGCCATACTTCGAAGCGTCTGCCGCCACCACGATTTCAAGTGTAGGGTCGTAATGTGTCAGCATAAGGTCAGAACACAGCATTCGCTTCAGAAGCCGTCTCTGCTGATAGTAGCATTGGAAAAGATATTTCCCTCCGAATTGCCAAAGCCCGTTCGGCATTCGTCAACTTGAGGCATCTGTGGCGAGGCCGCGACCTTTCCCTATTGGTAAAGGGCAGTGTCTAAAATGCTTGTGTTCGCGCTGTGCTGCGTGTGAATGACTTGCGTCGGATTTCGGCCTTTGACAATGGATGTTTGCGAAGAATAGTTCGAGTGTGGTGGATGTACCACGTACGTAACGATGATGTTAGACTTCTTGTCTTGGGTAACACGGGACTTCCACTTCAGACTGGTACCACTGCGTCAACTGAGGCGATTGGGCCACGTTTTAAGCATGCCATGCGAACGGCTGCCGCGACGCGTTCTCTTCGCCTGCATAGGACCAGGCTGGAAGAAAGTGCGCGGGGGTCAGCCTATCACGTGGCGACAAACGATTAAAACACTGACTTCCAGTTTGGCTGTCGTAGGTCCAGTGCGTCTTCCGGGCTGGGGGATCAAAGATGTAGAACACCGCTGGCTGCAAACTCTTTCGGAGATGGCACAGAACCGCGCTCAATGATTCGTTTGTGGATTACGTTCTCCAAAAGATGCGGAGATTTCAACTCGTTGGTTATCTGGGTTGGAGTCTAATCCAGAAGTCTCATTACAGAAGCTGGTACATAAATGTGAACATATGTTGACACTGAAGCATGACACAGAAATGATCCAACTGCACAACGAGTCTTGTGTGGTGGATGTTCATACTATTCCTACACGACTCAGGCCATTGGGCAATTCAGTACGTCTCTCCGACTTCGCACACCGCGGCTGTCCGCCTAGTGCTTGTTGGCACTGTGGTCAGTGGCATTTTGCTCGATTTTGTGAATTCAGACGATGTATTTGCAAGCGTTGTGGGAATATGGGACATAGGGAAACCGGATGTTTGCATGGAGCATCTGGAAGATCGTCAAAAACCTTCGCCAAAACTCCAAGTTTTCAAAGTTGCGTTTCAAATGTGGTGTTTGCAGCCACTAGCCCGAACTATCAGTCGCTCCGGAAGTATGTTACGATTGTGATAAACCATGTTTCTGTCCGGCTTCAAATGGACAGGGCTTCCGATAGTACAATACTCTCTGAGTCGACATGGAGTGAGCAAACTAAACCGTCATGGGTTCAAAGTTCACATGTCGCTCACGACGCATCCGGCACGGAATTACCCTTTTTGGATAGTTCAAATCTGAGTTTGCACTTCGTGATTAGCATGATAATGGTGTTTGTGACGTTACACGTTATGGACATTTGAGCTTGTTAGGCATAAATTGGATAGGTAAACTTATTTTTGGTGTATACCTTTGAACAGCATTTGTGATAACCCAGATAGTTTTTCACTGTGCCCCACCGATGTTCAGTGTTCAGCTGCACCCGTAATGTCTAAAGACAGTGCAGAAGTTTTATCACATTTTGCGACTAAGTACCCTGATGTTTTTGCAGAGGGTCTTGGAAAGTGTTTTAAGCTAAAAGCCGTGTTGTATCCGCGTACCGGTGTACGTCTAAGATTTTGTCTCAAATGATCAGCACCATACGCTGCTGTTGAAGCTGTGGATACCGGAAGTAGTCGACCGGAGTCCATGGGCGTCATCAGTTCTGTGAGCTACTCAGCGTGGGCGGCTCCTATTGTAGCCAACAGAAAGGCTAATGGCAGTTTGCGTATTTGTGCCGATTTTTCTACCGGATTAAATAACGCACTGAAAACGCATCAATATCCGGTACCTGTTCCCGAGAACTTATTCACAAAGCTTAATGGAGGAAAAATGTTTTCCAAAATTGATCTTTCTGATGCATACTTCCAAGTAGTGGTCGAGGAGCGCTCAAAAGAACTGCTCACTAATATGCATCGAGGCTTGTATCGTTACGATCGGTTACCTTGCGGAGTAAAATGTGCTCCAGCGAGCTTTCAACAAGTGATGGACGCTATGCTATCCGGATTAGTGTGCCATGGCTTAGTTAGATGGCATAATAATTGTAGACTCCACCACTGAAGATCATTACACCCACCTGAACGAAGTATTCTCTAGAGTAGATTCATATGGATTTCGTGTACGTCCAGAGCAATGCGAGCTTATGATGCCCAATATCACATACCTTGGCTCGGTTATCGACAGCTCAGGTCGTCGGCCAGATCCAAACATAAGAAAAGCCATCAAGTTAATGCCACACTCCCATGAACAAAGCTAGTTGGTAGTCTTTCTTGACTCTAGTTAAGTGTTATCACAACTGTCCCTTAGATGTACGAACTCCGGGCCACATAAAATGCACTTTTGGCGAATGAGTCAGTGTAGCATTGGTCTTCGCAGTGCCAGAAAGTCCTTGATGACATTAAACAAATAGTATCCTGCGATCTCCTTTTAACTCATTACGACCCAGGATTACCAATAATTGTCGCTGCTGATGCACCGCAAAACGGTATCGGTGGTGTCTTGTTGCATCAGTTCCCAAATGGACATCAAAAGGCTGTGATGCATGTTTCCCGCGCGTTGACAGCAGCAGAAAAGAACTAGAGTCAAATAGATAAAGAAGGATTAGCGCTAGTTATTGCAGTTAGGAAATTGCATAAGATGATATATGGGCGCAAATTTACTTTGTACACAGATCATAAACCTTCGCTATCGATTTTTGGCACCAAACGAGGAATCCCCGTTCACACGGCTAACAGAGTACAGCGTTGGGCAACCACTCTATTAGTATACGATTTCGATTTGCGTTTTAAAAGTACCTCTTCGCTTGGTCGTGTTGAGGCATTATCCAGACTGACTGCTGACTGCACGTCCAAGACACCGGATGAAGACACTGTTGTGTGTAGCATTACTTTAGATCCCGAGATTAGGCAAGTATTTCAAACAACTGTACGTCAACTTCCAGTAACAGCAGACGCAGTTAGAATAGAAGCAGCAAGAGGTCCCGTAATAACGTATTATGGGGTATCTTAGCACTGGTTGGCCCACACGCCCCTTGGACAGGTATGGTGAGCAGTTTCGTAAAACGAAGTTCGCCTTAAGCGCCAGTGATGGTTGGTTGATGTTATCTGACCAATTTGTGATTCATAAGATTCTGCAAAAGAAGGTTCTCAGTCAGTTCCACGAAGGTCACCCGGGAATCAGTCGTATGAAATCCATAACCTGCAGCTATACCCACTAGCCATTCAAGGAGCAGGATATCGAAAATGTGGTTCGTTCCTGTAACAGTTGCGCTATGGCAGGAAAACTACCAGTCAAACGTGAGCTTTATTCTTGGCAAACTATAAGTGGACCATGATCTCGTATTCATAGTGATTTTGCCGAACCCTTGGAGGGTTTCCACTATCTAGTAATTGTTGACGCTAACTCAAAATGGTCTGAAATTTTTCAAGTGAGATACGCAACCACTTCCGTTGTTTTATTACACCTATGTCATCTTAGAATTCGGAGTTCCCGAAACGATTGTTTCGGACAATGGTTACCAATTCACTTCTCAAGAATTTGCCGACTTTTGCAACTCACATGGCATCGAACACATATGCACTCCAGCGTACCATAAATAGTCAAGCGAGCAGGCTGAACGTTTTGTCGATACGTTCAAGCGAGTATTAATTAAAGTGGAAGGAGAGGTGAATATCCAGGAACTCATGGACAAACTTTTACAGATTTACGGTATGACGCCAGGTCCAGCAGTACCTCAAAACATATCCCCATCCGAAGTGATTTTCGGTAGGCGTGTCAGAACGGTCCTTGATGCTTTGAAGCCATCACTACACAAGGGAGAGCGCAATGCTAAAATGGAGCTGGCTTTTAATCGCCATCATGGAACACGCCCCCGACATTTCGTGCATGGTGATAGTATGTACGTAAAGAATTTTCGTGACCGAAGATCATCCTGGATTCCTGGCCGTGTTGTTGAACGGATTTCAAGTGTTTTACGCAGAATACAAGTGGATTCCATCATATGGACTAGACGTGTAAACCATATTAGACCCCGTTTTTAAGTGCAAGGGATGTGCCAAAAACAGGAAGCTTACTTGCCGTTTGACATCTTGTTAGATACGTATCAAAGTATCTTGTCTGAAGAGCCTGTCGTAAAAATACAGATCGAAGATACTCAACGCGAATCAGCGCCAGTGCAGAGACTCGAGGTGAAGCCAAGACGTAAAGCGTACCAATCAAACGTAGCGTGCTATTCAGTTCAGTTTAAAGGAGGTGTTAGACGGACTTGAGCTTGACAGTCGCTCACAGCTAGATAGTTCGACATTCGTGACTGTCTCGTCACTTGATTGTGTTGGGCACACGCATGACAGTCGTTCAGAACTAGACCGTTCACCATTCATGACTATGTCCTTTCATGTGGTTGGCCAATTGAGCTATTGATCTTTCGCATCCCGGTTGCTCAGCTTTGTCAGTACTGCAATACAGCTCGTCGCGCACGGTGGGGTTCTTGGTTCCCGTTCGGAGTGGGTTCAATTACAGTCAGACGTTATAATAGCATGAACCCTGCCATTTGTAATATTTGCGAGCTACTGACAAACATGCGATTGGCACCATTGCTATTTACTGAAATTGACTGATTATGCCGAATGAGGTGCGTTTCGTGAAAATGGAGGACTAAATTTGTTTAATTATACCCCCATGTGTTTACTTATAGTAAGCACCACTTAGATAAAAGTTTGATTAGCGAGTTGCGGTCAGTGAAGACACGTGTGAGCGGACAGCAGAGATTCGTCAAACGACGTTGTTAACTAGGCAACACCACTAAATTCAGGGGTAGCAGTTCACTAGCTACGGAAGGTACTACTCACTCGCGGGAGTAATTCGTCCGGTAACTGAAGTAGGAACAATTGTCCTTGTCCAGATTTGGTGAAAAAGTCGTAGGGAACGCGATGGTTTCGGCCCATAGAAAGATCCACGTCGCTCAACGGATCTATGGAAGCAAGAAGAAAAAAGCTGTTGCCATAGGAACTGTGCATAAAATGTTTCCAATCGTAATTAAAGAAAAAAACGTGTACGCCGCACTAGGTAAAACAATATCACATTGCAATAAAAAAACGATTGTCCTCAGATTGGATGGCTATTTGATGGCTATTTGTTATGTGGTTGGACTGTGGCGCGCAATCTGGACGCGGATGGTGATTTGCATGGAAGCGAAAGTTGGCCAATTCCATCACTAGGAACATAGCTGGAGCGTATGGAAATAGGGTGTTGCCCGCCCGAGAAATTAGTAATCTAATACGCGTTTCGACCTTAGTTTAACTATCAGGTATTGTCATCCGGTAAAAATACCAAATTAACCAAAGGCGTTCGATTTGATGACGCTGAAATGTGAGATGCCAACGGTACTTAAGAACCGATCATGAAGCCCCCGGTCTATCGAACAATGGAAATTGGAAGCCATGCTATGGTACACCTGAATAGGCATCACCCACGGATCAGCACAGATAACTTGGTGATAGTGATATCCGTTGTTCAGGCTAGCGTCTACACACACAGGGGCATGGCTACTATCAAAATACTGACTAGGGCAATGAACATTAGCCGATGGTAGTACGTTCTTATCCACCAATAACAGACGAATGCCCAGTGAATAAATAATAACTCTCGTACAGTTAAGCTGACAATGAGGTTCCATGTGACATATGAATCAAAAAAGAACAAGAAGCTCCGTGTTCAGGAGCAAATCAGGAAACATCTCCCCAGATGACATTCAGGCCCTAATGAGTCATTTGCTTTGGTCTCCAGTGCATCGGAAAAGAACGGGAGAATCTTGCTGGCAATTCGAAGAGAATGTGATAGGATCTGCGACTGACAGTGTCGGGGACAACGGCGGCGCAGGTGAACACTAAGACTGTATTTAAGAGCAAATAGAAAGGTTTCTGTAAAACTATCGAATTAGGAAATACCAAAAACATTTAATTGCGAATCGTCAGCGGTAGTGATTGGTTAGTTAATCGTTTATTTCTGTTCGGTTAGGAATTCGTATTGATGGAATTATTTCCGGGTATAGGATGTATTATTTTGCATTGTGCAAAGGTTTATGAAATAATCGTCGATACGCGTTAATAATCGTCGATACGTGTTAATAATCGTCGATACGTCGAAAAGATAAGACAGAACAGAAACGTTTTTCCATCAGGTTCAAAGCCGCACGAATGATTAATATCAGCTTGAATAACATTCGCAGAGATTGAGAATAAATGAAGCGAAAAAGAGCAGCCCTGGGAAGATAGGTTTCTTTCGGTTCTTGATCTATCTACTCATTTCACAAGCAGGTCCACTTATATCAACAGCTTAGTGCAAGCAATAAATGAGTTACTGCTCAAACAAGCACCGAAAGTCATAAAGGACCAAATGTCCGTTTTTGATTCCGTCTCCAAAAGTTCTAAAGTAATTACGATTCCAGAGGTAGTAGAAAAGGAAAGTAGCCAATAACATAATCGGAAATAATAACCTATTCGTTTAACCAAGATAGCTTGAATAGATACAACAAAAGACAGCTCTGAAATGGTAAGCTAATGTAGGCGTCACGAGAACAATATGCTGTCATAAATACATGATTAATGTGACCTGTCGGTTCGGGAGTCTGTGCTCACCGGGTTTTTGGTCACTAAACGCAGTGAGCACATGAAAAACTTGTGGACCGAACCGAAAAGAAATATCCATTTGAACTCTGCATTTGTTATGTTGTCCAACAACAGAAAGATCGCAGAAAACGAGGACTGATAGTGCAAGAGTGCACGCGTCACTCCGATGAGATCAAGCTGACAGGCGCTTAGGGATATAGCGACGCATAGCGTGTTCACAAGCCCGAACGTCTGACAACAGGCGAAAAGAAGAAATGACACCTACGGCTCTGATATCAAGATTGGTAGCCGAAGAGATTTTAGTGAAGCGAAAGTCGGACCGGACCCATCCAAACACCGCGACAACTAGTCAAACAACCATCCTGCAATGATGCTCAGTTCATCAACTTCCATAGACCGAGTGGTGTACGTTGACAAATAGCGGAATTCATACTAAGAGAAACGAGAAGATTAGCATCGGAAGTTACTGGTATGAAAACACCAGGTTACCAGAAAAATGTAACAGGAGAACAAAGTTCAGAATAAAGTATGAATGCGTTTAGTAAGACACAGTAAGAGGCGATACAACGGTTTAATGACAAAACATTAGGTAGCAAAGTTCGACATTTTTCTGTTTCTATGTTCAGTGTGTTTACCTGTTCCTTTGTGCTTTTGGAAACAAGACGACAATACGTTAGAATTTACATGTTTTAACTCTTCATTCAGATTCCATTCTTATTTTAAAATATTCTGAAAGTGTAAGAACTTTACCAAAAGTTCAGGAATGGTCTATAATTCATTAACTGCATGAAATCTGTTAAAACTTCGAAATCCTTCAGGGGCAGTCTAATAGTAACCGTATAAGTAGTAAAGAATGGAAAGCGGCATTTCAAGCTGTTTTTGCCAAGTAAGAGTGCAGTGAATAGCAACAAATGCATGTAAGAGTGAATCCGGAGGTTGCTTGCACCCAGTAGATGCATTGTGCTACATTTGTGGACATTCTATTCGGGCTGGGGAGAAAACGTACTCTGTGAACACATCTGTAAGATTGTGCGAGGCTTACAAAGCATACTTTGGAATTATTACCGGTGGTCAAGCCAAGTCATTCCACATGTGAATGTTACAAAAAATACTCTTGAAGGTAAGGTGAACATCTGCTACAATCCGGCAAATTTTCAAGATTTTAAGGAACAGAAATAATATAGGATAAAAGAAATATGTGGTGATCCATGTTGATACCTTGCAACATATTTTGTAATGTGTATTCTAATCAGCTTACGAGCTGGTGTTCATCGACGTACAGACTCCGGCGTGGGATGAGTGCTTCTAAACAATAACATACCGGTCACATAAAGAATTTTTCAATAATACAGACCGTGAAAGCGTGGCTTCTCGATCCTTTTGGATTTGATAATCGGAGTTTGTAGCAATATGTGTCAGAAAAGTTATCACAGGGATAACTGGCTTGTGGTGGATAGTAGGTGTGAAAACTCACATGCGTGTGCTGTGGTCCTATGGTTTGTCAATCAGTTTTGCGAGCCAATGAGCTTCGCGATTTGTAGAATACGTGAATCTCAGTATCTGCTAGGATTATATATGGCCTAGAAATGCAACTACTTAGTTCCATACTTATGGAATAATGTCTCATCAGTGAACATGTTGGAATGAACGCTCGAGACTGTGACGGGAGAACAGTCTATGCGGCAGCGAGTAGTCTTTAGGCGGCATAGCTTTACAAGAGTCCTTTCTCAAAACGTTACATTTCATATTTGCAAGGCCTAATTGTAAGGAATGCCTATTTTGCTAAGGTGGATTGTTGGAAGCTGACTACCGGCTTACAAGAGTGTTGCCAATAACCCTTTAGCTAAGATAACACTAAGCATCTATTGAACACTTCTTGCTCAGGTCAGTTAGGCCTGTCCAAGCGCCACCATAATTCTATCGCAGTAGCCCGGTAATGAGGCACTACTGTCTTGAGTTTGCACGTCTGCGTTCGTTCCAATCAGCCCGAAACACGGTATGTATCGACCGGTGTGGAGTGAGGTAGTGGACTTCAACTCAACAATCCGCGCCCATCCAGCGTTTGCACGATGGACGAGACTGGCAAGTACACCTGTATCTGGGTACAGGTGCATACAGTGTGCATGCGGCCATCACTCCGGTCTTTCACACCCATGTGAGCGGGTGAGAGTCATTTTGAGATTGACCAACATCTACTATTGGACATTTGGCAATTTAGTGCGCTCGCCTCTCATCCGAAGGCGTGACCCCTGGTCCCCGAGTAACAGTAAAAAAGGACAAGACTTCTGTGACTAACTGCAGAGAAACTGCAAAGTACGAAGAAAGACGCTTAAAAGAATTTCGTTGCACTGGTTCACGGCTTCCAGGGAAATCACAAGGCTGAGAACTACAGACAGCTATATCAAAATGGGGTGCAAAATAAGTATTGGCGTCAATAGTATTGACGCTCATTCCGAAAAAATTCGAGAAGAACATGGTAGCTTACTCAGATGGGCAAGGGGAGCGTTTTCGTCAGGATATAGTACATAAAGTATATTCTCGATTATGCGACAAACTGGATTTTGTATTTCATTATAAAGGACAGTATAACGAGAACATGATGGGAGATAATGTTTGAGGCCTCCTTTGACAAAGCGAATTACAATATAGCCGTAAATCCTGAAAATGTCCTTATCTACGAACTCTTTTCTGCTATTCACTTTTGTTCGTAGGTTGTGCTAGTGCATGCATTGCTCTTCAATAAGCTTTGAATGCAAATTCGATGTAAAAATGTGCGTGCTTTGACTGAAAATTCCTAACTTCTGTATGCTGTGGTTTAGGATGTATTTAGGTTTTTTGTTGATGTTTAAACATAAGTAATTGGAATATAACACCTAGAAGCCAGGAACAAAAATGTGTTACACAGTGGAATCAATGAACTCCAGTGAGCGAACATTCAAGAACAATGAGAACTGGGTGAAAACCGCTCAGCATTTAGGCGTTGGCCACTCCACGAAAGTGCAGCGTTTGATAAGACCGGTGGAACCCCGTACCAAGTGACTCAATAGTTTCTTCGGAAGCAAAGCGAGAATCCAAGAACGTGGCATAGTCTACAGTCCAAATATGTCAATAGCGGTGGTTTCATCCACTGTCTTGTGTACATCTAGTACCCATGGTTACCCAATTAGACAAACAGGAATGGTACTGCTGTGCATGTCGAAGGAGCGTGGGCCAGCTAGGTTGATGAAAGGTGGCTCACATCCACAAGCCTTCTGATCTTATTTCTCCGGGTTTACACTGGATACGGGATGTGTGGATGGAGCTGTGGGTGGTGCCACGAAAGCCACTCATGATCGCTCTGTAGGCGTAGGCGGCTTGTGGCTGTCCTATGGAGGTCGCGGTGACAGGCACATCGGGAATCGAATGACGCTTTTGATGTGTCGTGTTGTCGCAAGACTTGATAATGAAGTGACTGAAGCGGCCAACGAACCTAAACGATCCACTGAGGACGCGTTGTGGTGAACAGAAGGATTGATACCAAAATATACATGACCGCGCATGAAAGTTACTGGAATGCGCATACACCCAGGAAGTGGCCCGAATCCGCATTGTGAAACGTTGGCATACACACGGAAGACACCCTTGGCAAGTGAGTGGTCCTTACAGTGGTTATGAATACAAAGAGCTTCTCTAAGCGACTGGACTGGGCAACAGCTGACGCCGCTTCGACAAAAGCGACAAAAGGATATTTGGGCTCATCTGTGGCGGAGCACTTGATAAGAACGTAATGGTAAGAGAAACTAACATCAGTGTCATGACAAGGAACAAGGAATGGTGCGATAGCATCGCAAAGTGATTTTTCTGATAGTATGAGGCAAAAATAAAGTTGAATGACCAAGTCCTATTCCAACGAACAGGAGTCATTGCGGGAGATATAGTCATTATCGGCGTTGGATATAGCGATGAATCGAGAGTTCAGCCGGCGGGATATGATCGGAATCGAAGTGAGGCATAGCTGGATGTAAAGACAATGGAAGAAACAATGAGGATAAAACGAAAGAGAAAGAGATCAAAATAAGATCTGGATCGTCAAACTGAACGAACAATTATGAGAATCAAGCGAAAGAAAGTCACAGTGACATTGATTAGTTGGTTAGTTGAATTGGTTACACAAATTTAAATTACTGTGTATCGAGAAGTTTTGGCTCAAAAAGAATGATGATGACGAAGAAGGAGTCATCGAAACGATTTCATCAGACACTTTCATGCCACACTCATCCAGGGGCGTTTTTAGTAAGCAAAATCTACATTCACACGCAGCAGGCGAACTAGTAGCACTTCCATGGAGGCTGGTTCCGAAGAAAAATAAAAAAGTTGTCAATCACGCGACAGAGTATTGCTATCAAGAGGGTACAGTCGGTACCGAAAATCTATTTAGCTGTGGGAGTAAATCTGATGCACCGTCCAGATACAGCAACTACGGAGCAGGGTTTCGCGAGGACCTGAGGGTCACATGAATAACAGCAAAGAAATGCGGGTCATTTGGTGTAGAGAGTAGTCACAATCTACGTCAAAAGCAGTCTTTACATCAGCGAAAATAAGCAAAGTGCAGATAGAGAAAGTTGCAAACCATAAGATTAGTGTCAATGATTCTGGCCACTTGCTAGATGGTGGTTCATTTGAGAAAGCAGGCGAGTGAACAATGAAGTGGACCAGGATGGAGGGATATAGGAGAGATGCCGAGAAGAGTAATGTAGCTGACCACTGGCCCAATCAGCGATGGCTGTTTGAACCCAAGCCACGGTCACGACAAAACTAAATGATTACAGGTAACTAGTACTTATCCGCCTAGTGAAGTGGAAATGAGGTTAATTCGGCTACTACTACCACTACTACTACTGCTACTACTACTACTACTACTACTAAAGAGCAACAACAACAAACAACAACAATTACTACTACTACCACTACAACTACTACTACTACTGCTGCTTATAGTGTGTGCTAAAAGCTTTTAAATGAGTAGGTTCTCGTGAACTACACAAGGCTCATATATGCTAATACGCTGTGCCACAGACTACACCACAGCACTGGGCAGTGGGCTTTAGGTAGCGGCCACAGGTGAATGAAGTGAGAGAGATGAGAGACAGCGGTGTTCCAAGTTGTAAGACCGAAATTATGCAAAAAAGCTTTCAGTGGCATTCATTAATTGGTTGTTAGATTGAGTGAAATAATTAAAGCACAAGAGGTACCCGAAAGTCAAAAGTACTCACCAACCGCATCCCGACAACCGACTTCCGAATCTTGCATAAGCACAGGAGGATCTTTGAATATCTGCTTGATGTCTGTCACAAAAGACTCGAAATGGCCCAGTGGATCATTTACAAGTTCTGTCCCAATGGAATCTTGGACCTCCATACGGGTGCGCTCAGATGAGGGTCGGGCTTCACCTAGAAGAAATGTCAAGTATAACAATTCACAAACTTGAGTAGAGACGGAGGAGAAGGTTACGCATCGACGGCTTGTGCAAGGCAAAGATAAGTCTCATAAATGACGAATTAGCAGAGATATACTGGCTTGTAAACCTGCTTTATGAAGAAAAAACGAATCGATAAACCAAACCCGGTGGTAAACTGAAAGGCTGCTGATCCAAAAACAAGCGAACAAACGGCGCCAATTACAAAGGAGCAACACATTCGCATGATACAATATTCCGATTGACAGCATAATCAGATTTTGCAATAGATAAACAGGTGTACATGGATTCACTGGGAAACCACGGGAAAAATACACTTACGAAGTTCCACAGCATTACGATCTGTCTTCGTGACACATCCAATGCCCGTTTCAAAAATGGAATAGCTCTGAACGAACTGCGGCTTTCCGTCACGACCTGTCGGACGATCAGCACCACCACGACCAAATCGGCATTGCCGACTAACCGCATACTCTTGGAGGGCCGAATTTCTTCGTTGGATTTTTGTCGGTCTGTTTTGAGTGGAAATGAAATAAAGGTCGGTAACGCCCCAATAAGGGGTATGAAACTAGTCCTCAACAGCGCATTCCTATTAAAAACTGCAGGAACTCAAAGTGAAGTTAGGTAGCGACTTATCTGCTCTGTTTTTCTATGTAAAAGATAAAGTCAAAGGAAATCAATGCGAAGATGGGTTTGTGACCCACCGTCAGTACATCATACTATTAGCAGAAACAGAGTATATGGTAATGAAGTATACCTGCCTTTATGGCGGCTCACAATGTCGCAACATAATGTAAGGTGAACGAGGGTTGGAGTACGCTTTATTCAAGGTAACACCCTAGTCCATAGATCCAACGAACATTTCAACGTAGCACACTACGTTGACTCCGGTGGATTGTTGTTTAGGGGGAAATTACTCAAGTAAAATTAAGAGTAACACGGATGTCAAATGAGCATGAGGTTTCGCAAAAGTCGATGCTTCAGGAACATGCGGTTTTTTCAGCATAGGTAAATAAGTGAAAGTTACAGCCCGGTTACACAGTAGAATGTATTGATATTTCACGCCTGTGTGTTTTAAGCAACAATGACGTTAGTGGGTAGATGAGGTTCCTCCTCTGTCTGTTAGGCAAAGGACGAGGAACTCACCGAACAACCACCAATCAGCGCAGCTGTACGCATGGAAAACAACGCATGCTGTGTCAAATGATCTAATTTCTCGCGCACTCTTCTTACTGGTTATATGGTTCGTTCCTAGGGTATATATGTTCCCTTTGATAGGACAGTCGTCAAATGGGATGGGATCTGAGTTGCTTGCCACTACCATCGCAATGAGGTTGAACTACCGTGGTGTGATGGTTCACGTGCTTCAGAGATTCATTGAGTTATGCTGAGTAATGCTTTTTTGCACCTTCAGAGCAACTCATACCAGATTGGTCAATGGCTAGAGGCTAGACAAACTCAGCCTGCTGGTCCTACAGGTTGGGATGAGGGTGGCTCCTTATTCATTAATACGGACTTCTTGTAGTCCATTGTCGAACCCGCTGCCTTGTGGTCAGGTATTTCAACCAAACGCTTTGATTGAGAACCCTAATCATTCTCCTGTCTAGGCCAGGGCAATCCTGCCCACACAACACTATGGATCTTTCGTCAAACAATTTCCTGATGCTCTGGACACCGCAGAGGATAATCAACGGTGCCCTATCTACTGCATCGAGCAGAGTGGATAGGGGTTTGGATGTTACTGCTCAAGCCTACTCATCTTCTTATACCCCTTCTTATGCTTTTTCACTCTTACCGTTTCGTTCCAGCTTCACTTTTCTCCCCCTGTTTTCAACCCCCCAATTCTTGAACCCCCTCCTGACCAGGATTGACTTTACCTTTTAGTTTCAACTCACATGTGAACGCGGAACATCATTCCTGCCCTGTCGACAAGGCCATGTGCAAGCAAGCGGTCCACCTCAGTCCATCGGCTTCCATATGGAACCCTAGATCATTTTTCAGATTGGCATGCCTCAACGTACGCACACTGCTACAGATTGGTCAACAGGAAGCACCTGCCCGAACATAAGAAACCCTCTCGATCGATAACTGCTGCTTATCGGAGACCCGCCTGCAAGACTCGAGCTCAGTGCTTTGTCTAGGAGAAAGTAAGAATTGAATAGGAAATCCACTATTTTAGCGACTAATCGATTATTAATGATTATCGCATCAATTTCGACCGTTCCTGAATGTTCTAGTTTCTGCACGTGACTAAAAACCAACTGACACCTCGGCAAAAGATATGGGGAACCACTAACCTTGATAGCTGACCTTCCAATTATAGAAGTCGAAGGTCAGTAAGAGACCTATAAATACAGCCAAGGTCCGTGGTAGTTGTACAGTGTTTGTTGGCGGCGATTAATACGTTATTTTGTCAAGGTTATTGGCGTTCTGCTTTCTCCGTTCGGTTGGGCTAAGATATTTGTGGAGCAGTAAAGTGTCAATTTCGGAATCGCGTCTAGTGAGAAGATTATAACACGCTCACTTTGTGATCCCCTTCTGCTGACACCAACAGCACTTTCTCATTGCGCCTATCCGGTGACGATGTAGCTTCGAGCACCGGCTAACCCCGTGTTGGTATTGCCCCGACTCCCCGGGCTGAAGCTGCTCTGGTTGATTGCATTCCAATCAGTAGCCGGCTGTGTGCGGTCAGATTGGCTGGCTCGTTCAAAGCTTCGAAGCCGCACGGGACTAACAGGTGTCTATTCGTCATCGTTGCCCACGCACCCACAAACTCTAGAGATGATTCGGTAGAAGACAACTTCTATCGCCAACTGAACGAGCTCCTGAGTCACTAGAGATCTGAAAGTCCAAGTTGGAAAATTATCTACTGATGAACTGCATCTGGGCGACAAACATGGTGTAGGCTCCCGTAATGATAGCGGCGAGCGGCTACTTCATTTGTGTGAGGATGCTCGCTTATTTCTTGCAAACACTAATTTCCGACACAGCACCCGAACCAGCTATGGACGCAAATAGACCACATTGCGATAAGTTACCGATGGAGAGGCTGCGTCCAAAACTGTCGCTCGATTTGCAGCACATGTGTGGACAACGACCATGCACTTGTATATGCTGACCTGCGGATGCGTTTTGGCGGACGCCCACGACGACGTTGTGAGCGCATCGACACCAGTCAACTGGCGAAGCCAGCTATTCTGAATGCCTATCAAAGTACACTGTCATTCGAGTTGGATAAACGCTCACTGGATGTAACTGAAGCTCACTAGTCCCATATTCACCAGATCTTACTGGCAGCAGGAAAATCCTCATGTGGTAAGTCTAATCCCCAACATGGACATTGAGTCTCTTCGCAGCCTTTGAAACTTTTCGATGCTCGCCGGCATATTCCGGCTAGAATTGAACACAATAAAACTCGCAAATATCTCCGGGCAAAACTCCGTGCTAGCCTGAATAGAGACCGCGAAGCTTGGTGGTCACTTCGCGCGTCAGAGATGAAAGTGGCCGCTGCTTTTGGTAACCATGGTAACTTATTCCGGCTGATACGCGAAACGGGCAGTAGAAGACCTGATGTTAGTGAAACTATGTGACGAGTTGACAGCCTATCCACAACTAGTCAAAACGATTGGAGCGTTGAGCCGAGCACTTTGAAAGGCAATTTAATCGGCCGGAAATGTTAGATTTCTCGCCGTCCACTGATCGCTCCGCTCCATGAGCTGTCCCTTTGAATCCACCCTCTCACTCAGAAGTCGAACGTGAGATCGGACCGCTGAAGTTAAATAAAGTCGCGTGACCAGATGATCCTCCTCCAGCCCTCTTCAAATCCAGGGGACCTGCTCTTGTGGATGATTTAGACCAGTTACTAGTGAAACTGTGGGGGCAGTAAACTGTCCCAACCGACTGGAGCCGCTCTGTCATAATCCCAATTTTCAAGGGAGGCTCACGATCGGAATACGGCAACCATAGAGAAATCTGTCTGATCTCCATCGCCTCCAAATTGCTTGCCTCTGTCATCCTTCCCAGAGAGACTGGCACTCGTGAAAGCCAGATTCGTGAAGAGCAAGCCGGGTTTCGTCGAGGTCGTGGCTACACTGACCACATCTTCACTTTGAGTAAGTCGTTGGAGCACGTCAGATATATTGGTGGCCCACCGTTGTCGTGTTCCTCGATAACAAAGGTGCATTCTATTCGGTGGATAGACGTGCACTTTGGGACTGTCTAGTCAGGAAAGCTGTACCTGAGAAGTATGCAAATAATATCCGAGCATTATACGCGCGCTCTGGCAGAGTGTGGGCCTACAACAAGCTGTCGTCGCCCTTTAATATCTCCAGCGGTGTGAGATAAGAATGCCCGCTGTTACCTTTCTTTTTCAACTTCTTTATGGACGAATTCATGGAAATCGCGTTCACAGGACACGACTTAGAAGGAGTGGATCTGCTCCCAGGAGAACGACTTCTTGACTTGGATTGTGTTGACGATATTGCCCTAATCTGTGACAGCTCACAAGCGTGCCAAACGACAATGGACAGATTAGCACTGGTTGTCCCTCACTTCGGGATTTGCTTCGCACGCTCGAAGTGCAAAGCGTTCTTCCAAGATTGGTCTGGACCGCCTCCTACTCTGACCTTTGTTGGGGATCAGCTAGAAGTCGTTCAAAAATTCAACTACATGGGAATTTGTATCAGCGCCCGTGGGATTGAAGATGAGATCACGAATCGTATAGTAAAAGCTCGAGGCGTTTTTGCTAACCTTCGCCAAATATGGCGCCGGCGCGACATCACTCTCGCCCTGAAGGGTAGAGTGTACAATGCAGCGGTAGGATCGATCCTACTGTACGGTCGTGAAAGCTGACCCCTTAGATTAACGGATATAAAGAGGCTAGTTACGTTCGACCACCGCTGCCATCGCAATTTAGTTCACATCTGGTGGGAACACCGAGTAAGCAACGAGCGTGTTTGGCGCCTTGTTTACGGTACAGGAAAAATAAATGAACGCTCAGCACCGTTATTTCACGCACCAGGCTCCGATGGCGCGGCCACGCGTTACGTATGCCGAACCCACGGACTCCTGCAACGTGCGTTGTTTGCGCGACGGGGGTGTGAATGGAAGTAGAGGAGGAGTGGCCAAGCGTTGACTTGGTCGAGAGGAATGAAGGCCTTCACTTCGAAGCTGGCCTCGGTTGGAAAACCTTGGCTCTCTGGTTGGGGTCCGAAAGACGATGAACACGTTTGGCTGGATACGCTTGCTGATATGGCTAGGAGCCAATCGCAGTGGCGTGCGTGTTGTGAGTTTCTTTGTCCCAGCCCATCCCTCTTAGCCTTCCCCTCCAACCACGACCTCAGTATCTAGCCTTTGATAATATTGCACAGTAAAGTTTTTTGCTTCATAGTTGCCGGCTGGTAGCTTACCGGAACGATGCCCATCCGCTACCGGTAGCTCAGTTGGCTTGCACCAGTTGCATATTTTTGTATTGCGGCGCAGTAGATGAGGTGTTTCCCACCCCTAGCTAACG